GGAAGCTAACTCTGTGTGGCAGTCGCCAGCTGAGAAGAACTACTTCACTCTGGAGGGCGAGACACTAGCCATTGCTTGGTGCCTAAAGAAGGCCCGCCTGTTCCTGCTCAGGTGCCCGGACCTCGCCTTGGTCACTGACCATTGCGCGCTGACGAAGATCTTCAAAAACAAGGAACTCAAGAACATCGGCAACCCACGGATACTCAACCTGAAAGAGAAGACGCTGATGTATGCGTTTCGCATCAAGTACCTGCAAGGAAAAGACAACTGCGCAGCTGACACTCTCTCCAGGTACCCTATACTGTGCGGCCAACCTGATGAGTCTGACAGGGAGGACGACGAGGCAGTGTGTGCATCAGTAGCGGCCACCACGGCTTGTGCCACGGAGGGCGAAGACGCATTCGTTGTGGACCAGCGTCTTGTGGAGGAAGAAGCCGGGTGCGACAACGAATACAGGCTGCTACAGGCCCGCATGTCGGCCGGCGATTGGGCGGACTGCAAGGATGGTGAACCGCTCGCTCTCGGCCCCTTTTACAAGATGCGGCAGCACCTGTCGTGCCACGGAGACCTGGCCGTGTTCGCCCATGAGGAAGGACATCTATGGCTCGTGATCCTCTCAGCCCTGAGACGTGCAGTGCTTAAGAGCCTACACGCAGGGCACCAGGACCGCGACTCCATGCTACAGCGGGCCACACACACGCGCACGCCGAGCCCCTGATACCCACACCACCGCCGGAGTACCCATTCGAGCAGGTTGCAACTGATCTGTTCCAGCTGGACGGGCCCACGTACTTCGCATATGCGGACCGGCTCACGGGATGGCTGGAGATGGAGCACCTACCGAATGGCACCACAAGCAGCAAGCTGGTGTCCACCCTCAGGAGGCTTTTCAAACAGTCTGGTATCCCCGAGGTTCTGTCGTGCGATGGAGGGACCAACTTGATGAGCTCCGAAATGTCGAAGTTCTTTAAAGACTGGTGTGTAACGCCCAGGGTGTCATCAGCGCACTACCCACAGTCCAACAGCCGGGCTGAGACAGCTGTGAAGTCGGCCAAAAGACTATTGAGGGGCAAAACGGGTCCAGGGGGCTTCCCTAGACATGGACAAGGCAGCGAGGGCCCTGATGCATTACCTGAACACACCACTGCAGGACACCACCACCGGTCGGGGGTGGCGGTGAAGTCACCAGCCCCCAGACAGTACCTGATCCGCCTGGACGGCAGCGGACGAACGACGATCAGGAATCGCCGCCACTTCCACCCCTCAACGCCCACCACCGCACCCGAAGCCACCCCTGACGTCACAACAGCACCTGCGCCACCCACCGAGAGGCCCACGCTCCCAGGCACCTTCAGGGTTTTGTCCCTTAGACAAGGACTTCCCCCATGTATCACTCATGTGTTAGTATTTTGTCATAATGGATCTATTTTTTGTATATCAGTTGTATACAGTATTGAAATGAACCTTCACTCATTTTGTATGTATTCAGTTTGCAACTTTGTCATTTATGTATCATTTTGCTGACTTTGGACAGGTTCTTTGCCAGTTTGGCAACAGTATGGGTCTGCCAACGGCAGAAGTTCAACTGTCAGTTCTGGCTCAGCCTCCAAGCTGTGTGAACATGTCTGTTCTCCCGTGTCACCTTCGCTAATAAACAGACTATGGACGCAGCCTTTCATTGTCCCCCGGGTTGGCACCCTAACAATTATAGAAAACCATCATCACTGCTAACCTAATGCAACACACTTTAGGTATACAGTATACTGTAATTTAGCTTTTAGCAAAGGGAAAACAAAACTTTAAATGAAATAGAACAAATATTATCACGAATGAACTGATTTTCATTGTTTTCATATTAAATACAAAATAATATAATTTTTGTTATAAGGCTTAATTAGACAACCATGCCCAAAAGATTGACCAATATGGGCTGCTGTATATGAGTCTGCAGTGCAATATGTTGAGTAGGCAGTGTAGAATGGTGTTAGTGAGTGTGTCATATGGATGTTAGTCATATACAGTACACATACTGTTGTTGATTATACTCCTTTGTTTCTTTTAGCTTTGGTTCCCCAAAGATCTATTTGATTATCAAATCTACAGGATATGGAGGCAAACTTTTCTTCAGAATATAGTCACTTTACTCAACACTATATGATTACAGTAGGTTGATCTTTACATACATATGCAAATGTCACACCTGACTTGTATGATTCATATCTTAAGAAACAAACAAGAAAAAAGAAGGATATCATGTGTCCATCCTATAATTAAAAGATGAAACTACTTCATCCAAGCAAGTTTTTATCTTTTCATCCAGTTTCTTTATAAACTGATAAAGCAGGTGTCCACCACCACACAACACACTAACATCAAGTCTAGTATGTGCTCCTGATACAGTACAGTATTGAATTTCAATGGTATTGTGCAGTACAGTGTCTCAAAAAACTAGCTGCTAGGATTGGTTCGATTATTTCCCAAATGCTACATGCAATTCATGATGTCCCAGGAGGGTTGGTGCGCGTGGCTCTGTGACTTACCGATCCTGCTACACTTGGTAACCAAACATCATATTGATTATGCTGAAATAAATACTTTTTTGAGATACTGTACATTAGAAATACAGTAGCTATAAGACTGCCATATCACCATTATATAACATCAAAGACAAGAAATGAAAAAATAGACTTAATTCATTTGTGTTTAGGTGAAAGGAGTGAAAATTCAAAGTATGGTACAGGTGCTGTATGTCCATAGTGGTGAATGAGATTGTAATGTCATGGTGATGCGGTGTGACCAGCTGAAGTCTCACATTCTCCCATAACAGTTTTCATACGTGGCCGACATACTGTTGAATGTTTTAAGAATTCGTACATGGAACTACACTTCTCTTATGCAACTATTATATTTTGATATACAGTAAACCCTCGAAGGTCTGGGCCTGGTTATTCCAGATTTCGGAAGATTCAAACAAAATAAATTGAGGGTTCTGGGCTAAGAAGCCTCCCTAAGAAGCATTCCCAAAACAGGGTGAAGGTAGTTTTAGGCTTAAAGTTTTTATCTTATAAAATGGCAGACTAAAATTAGTAGAATATAACTTGCATTGCTGTAATCCTTGCAAGACAGCAAATAATTTGAATATAGACATCATATATTTTGCACAAGAGATAAAATATTTTGTCTATTAGTGTAGTACATTTTAGTACAGTACAATTTTTTCAACTCGTATTTTTGGGTAGATATACAAACTTTCTTCATTTATTTTTACTCATTTACTTGCACACACCATCCTAAATCCATATTGTGAAAAAAAGTAAAAGAAATAATTGTCCTAAGGGCAAACCTGTACCGTACTCAAATGTACTACAGTAATCCCATGTTTTTCGCGGGAATTGCGTTCCTGAAACCCCCGTGAAAAGCCAAAACCACAAATACTCTTTTAGGAATCACTGTACCTGTGGCCACCAAACAGCTCAGGTAGGTCATGCACTTAACCACGCCATTCTGTCCACTCACGGCCCAGTGGTCACTGATGCACTGTACCGGCATTTGCTAACATCATTATTTGAAGCTAATCATATTGTAGTACAGTATAATAATGGAAAAGTGTAAACACAGTTATATACCCAAAAAAAATTATTTACAAGTAAACACAAAATTTTATCTTTCGCTGAGGTCAGCAACACCCGCATTGCCAGCCTCTCCCTGCTGTCCCGGCGTCTGCCCACTTTCACGCAGTCATGCCAGCCAGCCAGTCCTCTTCCACCCACATTCCTCCACTTGAAGACTTGTATTCTGACAAATGAATTATCAGTCTTCACCACATCTCGAGTCATAGCTCATACCACCTCTGAGCTTGCCCAATAAAACTGTTTTTCCCATTAAGGTCCTCACTATTCTTGATCTCTTGGTCACTTTAGAGTCTTTGCTAGTAATATTTGCCTTTGATGAGGCTGGCTTACATCCCGGAGCCACGTGGAATGCACGTGGGAGGACAAACAGAAGAGGTAATCACAGTAGCGTTCACAGTACAGTAGGCACGTGTGGACTGAGGCTTCTCGGAGCAGTGGGTGTCTGAGGTGGGAAAGGGTGGCATCTGTTTGCCGCACCACACAAGGGAATATCGAAAATGGCGCGATTTTTTTTTTTTTTTTATGGATATTTTATATATACTGTATATATATATATACAGTATATATATATATACATATATATATATATATATATATATATATATATATATATATATATATATATATATATATATATATATATATATATATATATATATATATATATATATATATATATATATATACTGTATATATAATTTTTTAATAAAAAAACCCACGAATGGTCAAAACCGCGATTTAAAAAAACGAAAAACATGTGATATTTTATAAGCCAAAAACTTTAACTCCCTCTATATGACAGATAAATAAATATGCACTGGGTAACTTCACCTCAACCCCCTCCCCTCCTCCCCCTGCCTGGCTGTTAACTTCACCTCCCCTTTTCCAGTGGTGAAGGTAGTTTTAGGCTTAAAGTTTTTATCTTATACAATTTCAGACTAAACTTAGCAGAATATAGCTTGCATTGCTGGAATCCTTGCAAGATAGCAAATAATTTTAATATAGACAATACATATTTTACTAAGAAATATAAAATTTTTAGTCCTTTAGAGTACAGTAGTACATTGAGTACAAATGAGTACAGTAATATGTTGCTCAAAATTTTGGCTTTTTCACAGGAGAAAGTCTGTATAACTAACCCCAGAAGTCAGGATAATATGTACTGTATTTTTGGTGTTTTTTATATAATTATTTATCGTCTTTATACATTTAGTACATTCGCCCGAAGATTCGGACAATCGGCTTTTCCGGACAGGTGGTCCCCCCTTTTAGTCCGGATCTTTGAGGGTTCACTGTATAAACAAAGAAATATTACAGCCACTCCTTCCCATTTCTCCTCACTGTAATTGTTTCCTCCCATCATTACAGGAAGCAATGTCTGAGGTCCCGGTGATAGGGTCTCCTGTTCCAGAATATGAAATTATTGGGGATGATGACGATGATGATGATGAAGATGATGAACGTGGACTGAGGAAGAAACGTCGTTTCATGCCTGTACCACTTCCTCCAGCTGATAAAGGAATCCTCATGAGTCCAAGTTATAGGTATGCTTTTGAAATGTTATTTAGTCTCTCTCTCTCTCTCTCTCTCTTTTTTTTTTTTTTGTGTGGTGGGAGGAGAAATGAATTGAGAACCAAGACGAATGACTGCCTCATTAATTAGGCCAAATGATAAAGAAATTAAAGATAATAAAAGATATTAAAACTTAGTGAAAACAGTGAGTAGGTTGGTTGCTTGGTGTGGGGGATATAATTGTTAATGCTACAACTAAGTAAGTGAAACATCAATTAAGAAACTGAAAACTGCTATGGTTGATTGTTCCAGTGTCACCATTCAACTCCTTAACCCTTCTGTGGAAATTAGCAGCAAGGAAGGTGGCCATCATATGTGGAAGTTAACAGTAAGGAAGGTGGCCATCATATGTGGAAGTTAACAGTAAGGAAGGTGGCCATCATATGTGGAAGTTAACAGTAAGGAAGGTGGCCATCATATGTGGAAGTTAACAGTAAGGAAGGTGGCCATCATATGTGGAAGTTAACAGTAAGGAAGGTGGCCATCATATGTGGAAGTTAACAGTAAGGAAGGTGGCCATCATATGTGGAATATGTGGAAGTTAACAGTAAGGAAGGTGGCCATCATATGTGGAAGTTAACAGTAAGGAAGGTGGCCATCATATGTGGAAGTTAACAGTAAGGAAGGTGGCCATCATATGTGGAAGTTAACAGTAAGGAAGGTGGCCATCATATGTGGAAGTTAACAGGAAGGTGGCCATCATATGTGGAAGTTAACAGTAAGGAAGGTGGCCATCATATGTGGAAGTTAACAGTAAGGAAGGTGGCCATCATATGTGGAAGTTAACAGTAAGGAAGGTGGCCATCATATGTGGAAGTTAACAGTAAGGAAGTTGGCCATCATATGTGGAAGTTAATAGTAAGGAAGGTGGCCATCATATGTGGAAGTTAACAGTAAGGAAGGTGGCCATCATATGTGGAAGTTAACAGTAAGGAAGGTGGCCATCATATGTGGAAGTTAATAGTAAGGAAGGTGGCCATCATATGTGGAAGTTAATAGTAAGGAAGGTGGCCATCATATGTGGAAGTTAACAGTAAGGAAGGTGGCCATCATGTCTTTCTGTACTTTGCAGTGAGAACCATGAGGACTAGGATGTTCATAATTAGCTTCAGTATCTCCTGTAGGGACAAGAAGGTAACTTGATTATGAATTGCACTGATGTAAGGGTTAAGTATCAGAATTTCTCCTGTTGCAAGAAATGGACAACAGTTTGGCGGCGAGCTTTGCTGGTCGAATTAGTGCAAAAATTACCTTACTATTAGGTGTTGAATATTTAAGTAAAAATTTAAGCAAATCATGAAACAATAATAATTTAAAATATAGCACATATATAGCGATTTTTTATCTTATTAACAGATGTAACAGTATGCCGCAGTAATGGGGAGAACATAATATCTCTACCTTTACCAATTGTGTATCTGTTGAGGTGACTGTTAGTGTGTATATAACAGTTACTTGTGAAACTGTCATATATGTAACAACCTTCCTGGGTTGTCACCACTTGTAACAATCACTCTTGAAGCACGTTACCTTATATTTTAGACATACTAAAATATAAATCAAAGTTTATTGGATCTTCTGTAGTGAAATCCAATATGTTCCTTTGTTTGTATTTATTATAAAAGTTTTCTATGTACACTTTCAAAAAGGATTATCACCGTAACTTAATCACTGTAGCTATGACTGTTAAATGAGCACGGAGGCTATGTTAAATAGCTCGGGAGAACGGAATTTATCCGACGTCCTCCCTCAAGGGAAGACGGAACCATCCACGATGGCTCTAAATAACGTCTTCCTCTAGTCAGGGTTATCAAACTACTGCCCGCAATAGGTGGCCAGAGAGCCGGTCACTTAATCATTTAGCTCAGCACTAAGTGATGTGACTTCCCGTGGACACACCTTATCACGTGCTCTGAACATGAGCCTGATAGCTAGTGGAAAGTTATAGTGGGTGATATTTATGCAAGTCTAATGTAATTAACCCATTTATATAAATACTTCTGCTTATAAGACGGGCAAATACACATAAAATGGTGACATCTTTTTATTTATTTGTCACTTTAACATTTTTTTTTCTTTCTTTTCTTTTTTTCATTAATAAATCAATCATTATTCAGGGTCTTCTTTGACCAACCAGCCACCGCTACTTATAAACAAACTTCACGGCACACCCATTGTCTTTTCTTTAGCTTTTGCTGATGCCTCGCTTGCTTCAACAATTGAAGAGCTGTTGCACAATCCTGCAAGGCCTCAGCTGTTGTAACTGGGTCCATGGCGAACCTCGTGTAGACTCTTTGTTATTGTTTTTGTTGCGTTGGGCAGACACGCGAACAAAATATACCAGTGTGACAAAAACTAATGTATATTGATAGAAATGATTACCATTACAGTCAGGGCACCCTCCTAGGGAAAAGAAAAAGCTGAAATAGATTGGGAATGCCAACGTATGTGTGTATATATCTGAAAACATCGTCATTTCTCTCCATAAGAATATGAAAGCAACACTTATTACTGTTCATATATGTTTTAAATAATACTTACTAATGTAAAACAAAAAATCGACTCACAAATGGTGGTAAAGTTTAAAACATAAGGACAGCCAATGAATGTTGCGCGAGTTTTTACTCAGCTGGTTTCATCAATCAGTTTCAACTCTGGTTGAAGCTGAAGCTTTCCATAGCTGTTGCTGAAACTGTTACTGAACCTGAAGTTGCTTATGATGCTGAATTTGATGGTGTAGCTAAAGTTGATGGTTTAGCCCTTTTAATAATAAAGCTGTTGAAAGAACCTTTTACAGCCGCTTTCTTTTCTCATTATACTTCTTTATATAGAGGTCATATGTGTTTTTAACATCCCTGTTAATTTTAATGCTTTGTTCACTTAATGGATCCACTTCAGAAAATATGTACATTGCTTGCTCCATATACAGGTGCTCCTCTACTTAAGAATGTTCAACTTACAAACGTTCAGAGATACATACATCATCACTGAGGGGGGTTACCTGCCAGAACAGGTGTTTAATGTGAATGAGACTGGATTATTTTGAAGAAAATTCCAGATAGAACAAACATTACCTAAGAGAAGAGTGAGCCAGGTTTTAAGGCTGTATTAAAGGGTATAGCTGTACTAAATATCCATAATCTTTTCATTTTTTACAATATGTTTGGTTTCTACAAGAGTAAAGTTGGACTTACAAACAAGCCTCAGGAACTTAACTCATTCGTAAGTAGAGGAGCACCTTAATATCCACAGACCTTTCATCTTTTTCATATCGTTTTAACACATCTAGTTTCTCAGCTAAACTTATACACTTTCTGTAAGCTTTTGAACCAGCACTACCATCACTCACTCTCTTGCTCATGTTGAATAGGAACACAAAAAATGCCGTAAGAAACCTGAGAATGTTTTTTCTCCTTTTCCTGTTCAGATGCGTGAAAACAAAGGGCCCGCCAGCTGCAACTGTTTATACTAGTGATGCTGGCGTCACCACTCACAAGCCCGGCGGCCTCCACGCACAAGGCGTTTTTTTTTTTTTTTTAAATACATATTGGGATTTAGTTATTATTTATGTGAAAATGTATTACTTTATTTTTTATAATATTTTTGTCATAAATAAGAAGAAAATAATGGTGTAAATTGAATTGGGTCCTAAATTAACCAGGTTCTTAAATGTGAATCGTTGTTATCGGAGGCTTTCCTGTTCAGTATTTTCTAATATAATTTATTAAATTACAACTTTAGAAATTATACTCATTCCCTACAGATACCGAGAGGATTATCGACCAAAGGCTGTTAAATTTGCTGATGGGATTTTGCCAGGAGAAGGTACCTCACCGTCAGGAGGGGAAGAGATACATTCACCTCCTCCACCTACTGTCAAGCGCAAAGAAAAGAAATTGCGCAAGAAACGCAAGGTCAAAGTCAAGATAATTAAATTGGTATGTACTCTAGGACTTGTTTATTAGAGTTAAGTAGTCCTTCAGAGCCTTGATACCTGAAACCCACATCTCCATCAATATACATGTTCTCTGTGTCATACATACTGTATCCAAACAAAACCAATTTCATCCATATTAAACACCTGTTGTAGTGTGTGTCATTCTGCTTGCACAAGAACCTTAAGCTTCTCAGCAAAGGCTGCTGTGACAGCATAGTCATGTCTCATTGCCCCACCAATAAATTTCATGTTTGCAGCTGAATTGGTGCCATACACAATGTGGCACCACCATAATTCTCTCTCTAAAACATTTACTTGTGATCCATCCACTATATTTGTAAATTTTTAGTGTAAGAAAGTTAGTTATTCTCTTGAAAATTTTATGTTACAAAGGGCATCATATGCCAGGAACAGCTGTAGCTTGCACACTGTGATTGTGGTACCAAATAGGTCAATAAGTTTCAGATGTGTTCAGCAAGTTGTTATTTTATAATACAGAGGGAGCACAGATAAATTATTTTCAGGGTTTCCACTGAAGCTCTCGCGGTAGAAGGCCCAAGAAAGATTTGTGAAGATTGGGTTTCGAAGAGTCTGACATTATTGTAGTTTAAGCCATGCAGGAAAGAGGACACAAGAGGGACTTTGATAATGGATATAGATGTATTAAACTTTAGAGAATAACTGAGGTTGGATCCATAGTTTTTATACATTCATAAACCATACAGGAAAAGTTTAAACTGCCCCAAACATAAGTTGAATTCACCTTTATGATCAGCAGCCAGTTCATAATGAAAATGTAGTACTGTATGTAATTATTATTAATATATATATATATTTTTTTTACCTAACAGTATAACAGAGATGACAACAGCGAAAATTCACCTCCTCCCCCTCCTCCTGGGTCACCACCACCTTTAGCAGCCCTGAAACTTTATCCTGGATATACACACTACAACTATACTGCTCCAGGGACAGCTGTGATATATACCCAAAAACCACAACAACCATATGGTAGGTTTTTCACTTCTTACTGAACTATTCTTAAAGGCCATAGAAAAATATGTCATGAATAGACAAAATGAAAGTTGGTTTACTGTAATTCCTCTTGCAAAACCTAAGGAATTGTTTCTCTAACTTATTCTTTTATTCCTTACTGTTAAGCAAGAGTTTGTGATTAAACAGTTCTAATCATGTTTGTTAACATGCATACTCACTAAATATATGTACTACTGTACTGTATACCAGTGAGGGAACTTCCTCCTGTAGATAGTCTTCAATACCATATCTGGCTAAGGCAACTCAAGCTCAGAAATAAAAGTTCATATGGAATTGTTTACTAAAAATATAAGTCAATTTCTGAGAAAAAATCTGATTCTTTGTTCTTAAGCTCTACAGGTCCGTCTGCTTAAGCAGCACTGCCAGGCACTCGAAATTTAAAGTTTGGCAACGTTTAAAGGGTTCAGCTGTTGCTACAGGGCATGGAATGTTATGTTTTGGGACGCTATACAATACAGTACTGAACTTGTATGCAGTACAATATGCTTCGGCAACACTACGATACGGTCTGTGGAGATGGCACGCACAGTAATTTTGTCGCGGAGTCTCCAACTGGCCACCCAGTAGCACTCACAGTGGGTGAGGCTGAGCTGTGAGCTATGTTATTGTTTAACTCATAATTTTCTTAATTTTCTTTACTCTGTTCATGCACATACATTTGTTCATACAAAATGTGCAAACAAAAGAAAAAAATTATCATCAGATCAAAAACATAAAGGGAATACAGTAAACAGTTCTTACCTGGTCTGCAGTTAGCCAACAAAAGTGGAGGAGGAAGGAGCAATCACTCTACTACACAATAGTACAGGATAATGAACAGTGCTCAATAACACACCAAAGTCACAACAGTAACACCGATTCACGGCAATAGGGATGCACAGCGATCGTCAATATACAGAGCAATACCTGTACAATATAGTAAACAGATTGCATTGTTCAAAGTCAAAGTAAACACAAGTGTAGTCATGGCCTGGGTTGGTTGGTGGCACGCTGGTAGCATGCCCCTATAATACATATACAGGTTGTACCTCTCTAGTCCGGCATTCTGTGGTCCGGAAACTCCCGTGGTCCGGAACGATTTTAGTTTGTCCAATAGGTAGATAGGCAGCTTTTTTTTCTTCTTCTTTTTTTTTTTTACTTATCAGAATTATTATTATTATTATTATTACAGAAGTATTAAATTATTGCCCCTCAGGCCCCAATGTGGGTCGGTGACCTATGCCCGGTTGGGCTAATCCCCATAAAAAAAAACAACAACAAAGCTGCGGAAATTAAGGTTTGTTTACATCCGGCAGTTCGGCTGCTCTCTCTCTCTGCTTGTCTATACAGAGTACAACATTTAACCCTTCACTATATATGAGCAGTAAATAAGTGTTGCTTTCATATTCTTATGTAGAGTAATGACGATATGTTTTCACATGCACGCACTTACATACTCGCAGTCTCACTTTTTTTTTTACCATTAATGGTTAGCTACTTATATTGTTCCATTTATTAACATTAAATAACATTACAGGTACTTCAAACAACCATATAATTTTTTTACATTAATTTTACTCCAGCTACAATCAGGGTCTTATTTTCTTCAGTTTTATATGTAGAACCAATCAGTCACTGGTTTTGTAAGCTTTAACAAAAACAATGCCGGCAGCCGTCTCGTCTCATCGTGTGTTTTAATATTCCACGTATTATTAATAGATTGTATTGTTAATTTTGCACACACAAACATTAATTCAATAAAAACAAATTCAGAAACATTAATTAAAATATATATGAACAGTAAATAAGTGTTGCTTTCATATTCTTATGTAAAGTAATGACGATATGTTTTCACGTGTGCGCACTTACATACGCGATCTCTCTTTTTTCTTTACCGTTATCGTTAGGTACTTCTATTGTTCCATTTATTAACATTAAATAACATTACTTAAAACAACCATATTAATTTTACTACAGCTACAACCAAGGTCTTATTTTCTTCAGTTTTATACGTAGAACCAGTCAGTCACTGGTTTTGTAATCAACGAAAACAATGCTGTGTCATTTCCTCGTGTGTTTTAATATTCTACGTATTATTAATGAATTGTATTGCTCATTTTGCACACATAAACATTAATTCAATAAAATAGACATTCAGTAATAAACAATAATGAATCTTTTGTACATAAGAGAAATGATGCTGTTTACATGATTATGCACGTTGGCGGGACGTTCAAACCCGTCGAAATTCAAGTTTCCGCCTTCAAAATTTTTATTTTTTTTTTTTTTGTGTGTGTGTGTGTGTTCCAATAAAATACGTTGAATTAAAAACTCGCGAAATTTGAGAAGCTACTATACGACATTTAACCCTTTAATATGTCTTCAAAGAGACCATGATGTAGAGAAAGTGGTGCTAGTGCTTCCAAGCATAAGCACAAGTCACTATCTATCCAGGAAAAGGGTGAATTTCCATGGTCCAGCACCGGTCAGGTCCCGAGGTTGCCGGACTAGAGAGGTACAACCTGTAGTAGTTTTCTAATTACAAACCTACAGTAGATATGTACTCCCTCTGGTTTTTGCTGAAAAAGCTAGATAATAATTAGTAAAATCATTTCTCAGATTCAGGTTGGCTGATTCATAGGTAGTATCTTTTATAGCTTTTTCCTCTCCAAGTGGTTTAATGTCAACCTGGAAAGTCCAACGTTGCCACGATCTCTGTGTGGGCCAGAAGACATAATACATTCGGTATTTATTTGGCACCACTTTATTTTGTTATTTCCACTTTTTTTTATATTACTCATGATTATATAATATAGGCATTCTCCGGTTTACGGAATGGTTTCACTCCTGAAAATCTTTCTGCGTTGTGAAATTTTGCATTGTGACCCCATTTTTTCCATTGACTCCCATTATATAAGTTGAGATGCATTTCTATGGAAATTTCTTGTGGCTCAAAAACGTAATGCATGCACACAATTATATGAATGAAAATTGACATACAATGATTCATTCATGATGTAACATGAAAATAAATGCACAGGTGATGGTGAGATGGGGTGGTGCAATAGGACTTACTGGGAGTTACCTCATTAATACACTTGAACTTGTGGGTCTTTTTCCACTCATCTTGAATAAGGGTACACAGTAACACAGATACATAACTGAACACAAGCTGGGGAAAGAATTCAAACTGAGCAGCACCATTGTTGTGGTGATGCTGGCTGCTGGGGAAGTGAGCCGCCCTCCAACTGTCTTGTAGCTACCCCCAGAATTCACACGAAATAAATTTTATAATTTCCACTAGTTTCTTTGTTATATATCGTGGTTTTTATGTTTGAAATTTTTTTTTTTAGATTTACCAGAATTCCATAAGGGCAAGTTTTTTTTTCCCCATATTGCAAATTTTGGGGTCATACATAATGTAATTTCAAAATTCCGGAAGACTGGATTTCTGTAACCCTGGATTCCATATCATGGGGGTTGCCTGTAGTGGATAGGTAGGTGAATGGAAAAATAAAATAATTGCTAAACAGCTAATACCTGTACAAAGTAAAAACCGTGGATACCCGAAATTCGCATATGGCAAATCGGCGGTTGGTGAGAAACTACAGTATTACATTAAGAGCATTTATTGTCAATCATTATAAAACTAGTAACAATTCTTTGTATATCCCCAACAGCCTACAACTCTGGGCAAGCCCAGGGAGCCCTGGCTGTTCCAGGTGGAATGGTCCTCCAGCAGGGTATTGGTAATCAGTCCCAAGCACCACTGGGAGCATTAGGAGGATTATCATCAGGCGTGTTCCGCTACCCCGGATATGTTTACACAACTGTGTATTCTCCCGGCCAGCAACTGCAATATGTTCTTCCAACTCCTCTGACATCTGATGCAGCTGTTTCCCCTACAAAAAAGGGCAAAAATTAAGACATTGTGTGCTTAATGTAAAGAGAATGAACTAAAAAATGCAGATGGTTTTTTAAAGATTTAAGAAACCAGCCTATAGTTTTAAGAGAATACAAAATTTAAAATTTTCTATTCATTATAATTAAAGCCTTTGATAAATTCATCTGATCTACATTATTTAGTTATTGAAAAATTAAGGACAAGAAAAAGTATTTACAGAAGAACACTATAGATGTGAATAATGTGGGTCATTGTGTTTTCATAGCCAGTAGAAGAGTATATTGATTGCTCAGTACAGCATTGGACAGGTACAGTATCTCAAAAAGTATCTGTCAGGATTGGTCCGATGACTTCTGAAATGCTACACTCAACTCATGATGTCCCGGATGGGTTGGTATGCGTGCCTCTTTGGTATACTGATCCTACTACATTTGGTAATCAAACATCATATTAATTACACTGAAATAATTACACATTGCATTAGTTACGTTAAACTAAATGCAATACCAAAGTAGATGCATGTCCCACTATCTATCATCCGTGGTTTCTCACAGTGTGGACAGATACTTTTTTGAGACACTCTACATGGCCTCTACCTCTTGTGAAGAATGAGTCAGTTAAGGAGCTTATTTGCAAGCTAGATTTCAAACGGGCCTTGAGTTATCATAAAGACCTCTGCAAAACCTCCCCTCCAAACAACTCATAGCCTAGGCAAGTTTCATCAGACTATAGCCAATGTAATCTTCTGAGTTGTTTTCTCTCAAGTATAATGTCTTGAATCTTTGCCATTTCATATCACTTTCTACACCTGTCATGTACTGAACCACTCTTCCATCTTATATCCCTTTTGTATGAGGCTTTTATACCCCTTCATCCACCCCGCAGGAAAGTGGGTGAGAGTTAAAGGTAAAAAACTTTATTCGGGAAGCAAGAATTCACTCTCTTAGATGGGCATTCATAGTACAGGTAGCCACTATTTAGGACAATATAAAGCAAGTTGGTCGTATTACTTTTAAGAAAATTACAAATATCATGTTTAGTTTCCAAATGCTAATGTTTTGTTATGTTTCCAGACAAAAATATGCATAAAGAAGAGTAATCTTTTCTTTATCTGAAGTTCTTTGAAATACTGTACATCAATTAGGTATTGAGGTATTTGCATTAAAGAGGCTTCCAATGTAGGCATTTACCGTTTGTGTGAGAGCATTGCAATTATGTTTTATCAACCCTTAAATAAGCATCTTTTGAATTACAGATACATTACTCACAGAGCCACCACACATTAAAGAACTGGAAGGCATTTAATATGATGCTCGGGAGATTAACTTACCAACAAGGCAATGACTTGAGAAAGTTCACACATTTACAAAGACTATGTGACAGTTGTATCTACTGTAAGTATGTGTGTGTGTGTAGTATGCTGCAATAGTCAAATAATTCCCAGTTGGTATTGTGTCTTGGATATTATATTATGGTATTACTGTCACTACAATCACTTTGGGAATTTCCATTGACAGCTACTATAGTAATATTTTTTTTAGTTTGATTCAATACAGTGCAGTTCCTCTCATCCTAATTCCAACTATCCTATGAATCTTTCAGGTATCCGAACTTTGTTCCCTTTGGTCCCGTTCGGTAAAAATTTTAATTTAGTCCAACAGTCCGAATGCAACCAAAATCATTGGTTCACATGTCTGCCACCAGTAGCTCTTTAACCACTTTGTTTACAATGTGCTGGGCTTTTTGGTTGGTGGAAGGTGTTTGCTCTAATTTCATGTTATAATAAACAATAAAATTGATTTATAGCCTATCATAAAATATAATAGCACTTATTTTATGTAAAAAAAAATAGCTCCTCCCACACTCAAACCATCCTCTCGATGATGCGATGCAGTTCAGCCGAGCATTCACCCAGCTTTCTCTGAGACGTGTGTGTATCATGACATCACATCGGGGTGAGGGAGCGTGGCCAGCTGGTGGGTCAGTGACGCAGTTACAGCCCACTGCCTCCACATGTACATTCACTCCACAAACATACACACCCTTGCTCTTCATTTTTTTTATTTTATTAGTGTTATACATTATTATATTTTCTTTATTTCCAAGCCGCATTAAAGTATTGTCATGATTATTCCACAACTTTTACAGTTTCATTACATGTAACAATGGCAGCATGCTGCTGTCTCATAGGCCAGTTTTTTCCCCTTCCCAGTGAATCACGGTATCATTCAACCAGATTTTGACCTAATGTTAATTATTGCTTGTTCTTGTAGGCTGTAAGTACGTCCAGGTTTCTGAATCATCATTGGTCCCGATGAGTTTGGATAAACGGAATTGCACTGTAGATATATTAATATCTTTTAGAAGTGAATATGACTGTACGTACAGTATATGAGAAATATGACTGCCATAGTGGAAGGGTAGCTTGGGTGTGTATTCTTGATAGGTTATTGTATTGTCCAGGGAAGTTTGGTGTACAGTCGTGAATCACAATCTAAAAAGTGTTCGATGTGATTTTAAACAGTCCGCTATGTTGTGTAACTTTTGAGTGCCTTAATCTTCAAGCATCTTTTATAAAATGGTTAATACAGTATAATGAATGATAGGAAGACCTAACTTTTATTGTACAGTATATAACAGTATGAGGGTGAAGACCAAAGGGAAAGAAGAAAAAATATAGTTTATATATATATAATTTTCAGGAACATAAACAAAACCTATCCATGTCCGAGCAGTTGTGTCTGATATATTTTGGAATACAGTTTAAGCTGGTATCCCCAGTGGACTGGCTGATCCCCCAACTGAGATGAAAATTACTAGGGATCATCAACCGTTTCTAATGAATATATGTACTGTATGATTCTGAAGGATGGTGGCAGTTCACTCTATATAGCTTTTGTTACTGTGCAGAAACTGTTCATACCGGTATGTACGTACAGTATATGGACTGACAGACAGACAGATAGTACCATATCTATGTCCTTGAATATTTTTTTAGTCTGAGAAATAATAATAATACATAAATATTGCTCTGGGGAAAAGTCATTGGCATTGATTTAGTGCTGTTGAAAAAGCATTTCACTAATCTCTAATATTCTACAGTACAAGGTCTCCAGCCCAAATTCCTTGGGAAAAAGTGGTGGTGTAATTACAGATGACAGTTTTTCCAATGAGTCCAGATTGTGGTCTGACCATTTCATAACCTCATTAGTTGTTTTGCATACTGGATGTAGTTAATAAAATGTTATATACTATATATATACAGTATAATGCAAAGATATTCAACCTATGGTGAAAGTTTATAGCCTTTAAAACAAATTTAGCCCAGGAATAGGTATGTTTTCATTATCGTATTGCTCACACTAGTCATAAACAAACTTATCAGGATCAGCTGATCGTGCATGGTTCTACACTTTGCAGTGCCCTATTTGGATCACTCTCAGCATAATACTTGTACTAAGTTTTTCATGTTTCCTCAGGTTACACACCTACTTGCCATTACTTAATTTATGTAGAATTTCAACCTTCTGCATCATGGCTAGTGTAATATGCTTCCTCTTTGCATCATTACACTTGGTACTGTCCCTTGGATGCACATTGGACAACATTAAAAGGGCAGAATAAGAGCAAAAACCACAAAAATGAGTGAGAAAAGAACAGAACAAACTGCCTTAAATTCAAAATAGAGATGGTAGCATATGGCCCCGACTAACGATCTGTTGAAACTCAAGTCACGGTTTGGCAGGTTTTTATATTTTGGATATATTATTTTAGATTTTTAGTTATTGGATTGGAGATCGTGTATTCTACAGTACTATCTTTATTAGAAGAAGTTAGGGTCTATACCAGGATGAAGCACTTACATTTATTATTTATTAAAATTGGGAGGATTTTATGAATTTTGTATTGTTTCATTTATAGTACACTTTTAATATACCATATGATGTTTGACACTTGCTGTTTACTACAGTCACACATTTGTTTGAATTTATTAGTCACCAAAAAATTGCATGACTTTTTCTGAGACCAAACTGCTTAATGGTAATTTGTGCAATCACGACACTTGTAAATTACAGGTATGTCTTATAAAGTGTTAATGTTAATTAAGGATTTTAAGGTCTAATGGTTGTCACAATGCTGTAAAGCAATCTCGAGAGGCTGTTAAGATTAGGTAAACAAGAACCGTTTTTGTACAAGTCCAATGTGAGGATTCAGAATTTGATGCCTAAAGTGGGGTGACACGTGCTGCATTTTCTCATCACTTTCAATATTCTCAAATCTTGTAAATAAAAAAGTTAGGTTTTCTGTTTGGTTAAGGTTACAAGCCTCTCAAGATTGCCTAATTTTATACTGTAATGTTGTATAAACAGTAGGCTGTATATAGAAGTTTTCCTACAGTTCTGTATCTGAGGTATGATGTACTTTTAAAAAAAAATTTGTATGACATTTATGACATTTCCTGCATTCACAAAAAAGACCAGTGTTGACATGTATTTGGCTATTAAAGAGGAAACTACAGTATGTTCAAATCTGGTTGTTGGTTGAGGCATTCTTGATTAAGTACAAAGACATAATTATATGTTACACCTAAATTTCAAAAGCAGAAAGTAAGATGATTATTATTATTTATTGTACTGACTTCATTTACTATAAGACAATATTTAGTTTCTCTGTGAAATTAGTACAGATATTATACAGTACATGTTATTTGTATTTAGTGCATTCACTACTGTGACTTTAAAAAAATTCATTCTTTCATTGTATGTTATGATTTGAAACCAAACTTTAGGTACAGTATACTAATTATTTTTTGTTCTGCTGGTTTGACCTGAATCCTTACAACAGGACAGAGTTCTATATACTGTACTGTAACTACATCTACAAGTTAAGGATGCGAGTAGGTGTGTTGATATTTCTACCTGCTGTCTTTGGGCTTTCCTATCACTTTTCTACATATGACTTGTAGTACAGTACTCTTGTCTATTATTTCCCCCTTTCTTAAAGGCTTCTATGCCCCTTGATCCACACCACACAAAGTGGAAGAGGGGTAAAGCCAGTAGATGATTATTCCTGCTGTCCCCATTTTTTCTTATTGCCTGAATTGTTACAGTAGGAAAGACAAAAGGGCTCAGGCCATCCAAACATGAAAATACAGTACTGTATATACTTCCATAAGAAAATAAAGAAAAGAATAATTTTTTTAGTTGAATGATATATGTACAGTAAAACATTTAGGTATACACTGTATTGTATTTGGAAGGGATACCAGTACTGTATAAGAATGTGCATTGGAACATTAGAACAGTACAGTTTTGTGTTGTATATGATCAATGAGCTACTGTGTGCCTGTAAATACACAAGTACCCCTGTAAATGGATCTGTTTTGGTGGTTCCTATTGACATTGTACAGAGCATAGTACCCCAGATGTAGTACACAATTATGCTGGGCTGCAAATCATGGACTTGTGTCATCATTCAGAGGGGGAAAATTCAGGATTTCTGTATGTATATATTAAGAGAATGTGTATGGCTTTGTTTTTATAGTTCAGTAACACTGTATAGGCTTATACTTCAGAAGTAAATAGTTTTGCATGTATTTATAGATGTTTATGGGTAAGTGTTCAAAATTAATTACCGTATGCGTTTATAGTGGGAAAATATTATATGGAATTAATTAGTTAAAAATGCACATAATATATATCTTTCATTGGACCTATGATTAATGACGTTGCTTGCATAGCTTTGAGGTATAAAGGGATCATTGTCTGGTGTGGTATGGTGCAGGTGAGCTTCACTCATCCTAACAACAATACACAGGGAAGAAAAAATACATAACTAGGGGTCCATCCCTGGGTATATAATATTTTGTGTATGAAATTTTCAATGGGAAGTGTCTTGCACATTGCTGTTATGATTTGTACCTGTGGGTGAAGTTTGCATGTTTGTTCAGTATTTGCAATAGATGAATGATTCAACTTTATTCAAACTGGATTAAAGGCAATGAAATGCAAAGCAAAGGAAAAACTACAGGGTATCAATCCTCTGTACGAGTTGGGTGTACTGTACAGTTGAGGTGTGGTTGGGGTCACGGATCAGGACACCAAGACAGACAATTTCAGAGAAGTAATGTCCCTTTTGTAGTAAGCACTGGTGTGCTGACAGCACCATGTTCCTGGGAACATGTATTTTCTAATATTTTGTTCAACTGCTTTATTAATATCTTAGTCTGATAATATTCTATCCTAAAGATAATAGGAAGTGAAAACTACTAGTAATTTCTAATGTAAATTGTAGAAAGATAATTTTATCTTTTATTATAATCTAACTTTAAAAGGATTTACATGCAGCTGAAAATTCTTCTCTGATGTATGTTCTTTAACTGTTGTTTTCTGTAAAGAAAATAATTTATATGTTCTTTTTTGTCATAATTTTTTTGAGGCCAAAAAAAAAATCAACATCTACAGTATTTGAGAATTATTAGAGCTTTTCTGCAGGTACTTTACAGCAAGTACAGTATTGTGGGTGTCATGTCTCACAGTATTGAAACTTATCCTAAAACCTTGTAAATATGGGGTTAAGCAGATGATGAATGTTACAATAAAAGTTACTGTTGACATTTGTTTTCATTTTCTTCATTTTGTAAAAATGCAAAAACATTTAACATATTTTCTCTCCAATTTTGGAAAGCTTTAGTTTGTGTAAAATGTCATCAGTACGTACTTGGAGCCATATAATAGCTAGTTCTCGATGAGCAATTGTAACAGTATCATAACCAGTTACAACTCTATATAGGCAAATAATGTTTCATAAAAAAAAAATACTTATGAGAATTGATGTGATGTGGAGGGTATACCAGGTAGATACTGTACAAGGCTTTTACAGTAGAACACAGAAAAACACATCTGTCACAGCAAATAAAAGACCAACTTGTGTTGCTATTACTTCTAAACACCCTGTGGTGAAGCTGGAAAAGTTTGCAAGAGAAAGCAACAAAATAGTCATATCAAATACATACCCTTGGCCTATACAGTACTTTGGGGAGACACTTAAAAATAATAGTTGTAACAAGGAAGTACAGTAGGCTTCTACGCCCTTAACTCATGAGACATAAACGCAAGCATGAACTTAGCATGTTTCCCTGTTGGGCGCTGTAAACGCTTCTGTGCTTCACCTTACACAAGGATGTAGGGGGGTGCCCAATAAATGAAAAAAAAAAGGAAGTACAATACAGCACAGGTAATAGCAGTCATGGCAACACAAGGTGAGTCTTCTTACAGTAATATTACAAAGGATAACTGGGATGTAATTTTGAACATTGGAAACATTGGAACGGATAGTCGGATTATATCTCAGCCCAGATACACACTAGGGTGGTTAAGTTAAAAACCAGCACGGGGTACACCACTTGTCCAACAGTATATTGTACAGTAGTGAAATTATACCCAATAGAACAGGACGTAGGTATAGAACATCATCTTCAGACAAAGGAGACTGATCAATGTGGAGTTGGAGTTAATTCCCGCCCACCAAGACAGGCTGCTTTGGGTTCAGCTAATCTTTGGTGATCAAAATTTGCTTTAGGACTTTTGTAAACAATGTATATAATGCACTGTATATTTTGCCACGTGGATTAATATTTTATTTATTTTCTTTGCTGCTTGGGACTACAGTATGTCAAAACTGTAATTTACTGTTTTGACAGTAAACACATACTGTACTTAGTTTAGATATTTCTGTACTGTATATTGTTTGATAATAGGGATTGTGATTATTATATTAGCAATGAGAATTAGCTTAAAGCTTGGTGGATCTCCTTATTGTTTTCTTTAATGCTCATGCGTCATTAGTCTCTTGTTCGACTGCTTCTTGCCATACATTTTATCAGTATATTTTTGCTCGACTTGAACTAACCATTACACAAACGCCAGGCCTATACTGGAAATCAAATCCAAGTACAGATGCATAGTGTAGGGACCAAAGGACATAAAAATGTTCGAAGGACCAACTTTATCATTATTAATAAAGGGTTCAACAAAAGATAAGATATATTAAAGCACAAATCACCTTGTCTGACTACCACATATTGGTCATATATTTAGAGGAATATACTGATAGTTTGTAGAGGAAAGCATCCATCTAAATTTATGGCAGGAAGCTGTTGAACAAGGGACTTGTAGCACTGGATCCAGGAAGAAAACTCGGGCTACGATTGCAAGTTTATTTGTGTGGCGAGAAGAACTGTGCTCAAGCGCGGAGCAAAGAGTGAGTGACTGTTCCGAGGCCACCCACGAATATACATACCGGCTGACTGAACAAAGCTGTCTCGGCTGAAGTTCAGCCAAGTCAGCCAGCCGACTCAACAACAGTTAAGACAGACTTATTCTAGCAAATGAATGGTAGTAATATCATGAAACAAAAATATCTTTCATCAGTTACTATTTCAGTCAACTATAAATGGTACTGTAATAGAAATTAATAGATTTACTGGTTATAGCACCTCAGTGCTTTCCTATAGACTGTCAATCATGATTGACAATCATTGTGATTGTGCAATAATTTTGATTGTGTATGGTTATGATTGAAGGCTTGTGCAAGTGATTGAAGGATATTGTAGCAGTTAACTCTCCCTACATATTCTCTGCCTCCTCGCCTCAGGCAATCAGCAGCGAGTTCCATACCACAGCCTCTGTCCTTGAATTGCTTTCTGACTGGCCACCTGCCGTCCTTGCCCAGCCAATCAGCGGAACCTATCATCTCACACCCCTGATCCTGAGTAGGCAGGATTGTATAAATACCCCCTCCCTCACTGGAAAGGTCATTTCAACTCAACGCTCTCAAGCCGACAACACCTCCTCACCTCACAGCAACTCCCCAGCATTGCATTGTATATACAATATACTGTACATGGATTTAACGTTATTCTGAGTTTCCTTTCTCACCTCCATCCTGAGTGCAAGATCTCCTTTATGTACGTGTATATGTGGTCCTAAAGAAAGAGAAATTTAACACAAAAGAAAGAAATTTGACTAACTGCAGCACATACTCACACTACAATTGGCGAACGCGGAGTGACGCACTCACACAGGATGGATGAGAAACGGGTCTCTCTCCCAGTCTTCAACCACAACATGTGGAGGCAGCTCAACACCTACAGATGTTGCTCTGGTCTGTTCCTTGCCCACAGAAGTCGCCACGCACGTCTCAGAAGTCGTCACTCAGCCTCCAGATGACAACAAATACGCAGCTCTACGAGATGCCCTCAAATGGCGATACCAGCAACCTGGCACCAGTCTCCTGCAAGAACTGTCAAGTCTCTCCCTCGGCAACTCAACGCCCTACATCTTTGGGACGAGGTGCGGAGACTGAACTCCCGCCACACATAAAGGCTTCCTGACACTGTCCTGCGCCAGCTTCATGCTCAGAAGCTCTCTGCAGAAGTTCATCTCGCCCTGTCAGCACTGGACTACTCTACAACTTCGGCGACCTACACTGCCATGGCAGACAGAGTATTCTGCCACGGCAAACAGAGTATTCCATGAATACACTGCTGTGCGCCATGCTGCCGCAGACAACTCAGTGGCCACGCCATCACTTAGCTCCGGTCTCGTCGACCAGATCAATGCTCCTCAGACGAGGAACATCTCACAAGACATGAGGGACCTGCTACAGTCTCTACATCACAGGATGGACACCCTCAAGCAGCTCTGCTCCTACAAGCCTGCTGCTGCCCCTGCCCCACGCACAGTGTTTAACCAGCCCCGACGTTTTCGTCATGCCTCAGACGCCGCTGCCAGCCCCCCAGCACAGTGCACCAACCCTCTGCTGGTACCATCAACGCTTCAGTGCTAACACTAGGCGTTGTGAGGCTCCCTGCAACTACTCGGGAAATGACGTCGACGGGGATTAGTAGACGTCACAACCCCCGCCACTTCAGGCGTCTCACTGCTGCATATCACCGACCACATCTCCGGCAGGAAATTTCTCGTTGACACGGGCATCGGTCATCATCATCCCTCCCTCACCACGAGACAAATCGAAGCAACCCTCATATGACCTGTTCGCCGCCAACGGTACCCCCATTGCCTCCTATGGCGCACACATCCTTGCCTTAAATCTTGGTCTTCCCAAGACTCTGCGCTGGTCCTTCGTGGTGGCAGACGTCTCTCAACCCATCCTTGGCTTCAACTTCCTCACCTTCCACAAGCTCGTCGTCAACCCAAGCAACCTCTGCTTTATCCACGAGCTTACATCACACACGATCCAGGGTACACGTACTGCGGTCACCGACACCATCACCTGCCTCTCGCTGTCCAACGAGTTCTCCCCCCCCTGCTCAAGGAGTTCAATGAACTTTTCTCACCCCGAGTCTCTCCACCACCAGCTATGTAGGGAATCTTCAACCACATCGAGACTACAGGACCTCCAGTCTTCTCACGCCCTCGCCGCCTTCGCCCTGGGCTCCTGAATGCAGCCAAGGCGGAATTCAACAGACTCCTGCAAGACAGCATCATTCGACCTTCAAAAAGTCCCTGGGCATCTCCTCTTCACATGGTTCAAAAGCCACCATCCGATGACTGGAGGATATGTGGCGACTACAGAGCCCTGAACCTCGTCACCAAACCTGACAGGTACCCTATCCAGCATGGCCAGGACTTCCACCACAAACTCCACAGCATGACCATCTTCTCGAAGATCGACTTGGAGCGTGCCTTCCACCAGATTCCAGTGGCACCTGCAGATATCCAGAAGACTGCCATCACCACCCAGTTCGGTCTCTTCGAGTATGCATACATGAGTTTTAGATTACACAATGCAGCTCAGACCTTCCAGAGGTTCAGTATCTAAAACAACGATCTGTGCAGGTGGGGGTCGATATGCTCCGAAATTTGACGTGTGACTAGTGACATCTTGGGGGGGGTGTTGGCATGCCTGTCCTCACCCACCACCATTCAGTACCCATCACAGGAGGTGTGTTGCCATATGGGAATAATTTTATCAGTTATATATGAGATTATTGTCTCACAGTATAGGAAGACAGTTGTTACCACTCCTGATATATGGCTCACATAGTAATGTAGCATACACGGGCTATGATTGCAGTGCATGATTCGTTTTGACGCTTTATTGCCATCTAATAATCGAATCATGAGACTGAGTTCACTGATTATGAACTTGGTTCACGAGACTCCATTGCCGGTTATGAACCATATCAGAGCCAACATGTGATGATTTTATGTTTCTCCTGCCATTCGTCATGGAAACCTCACAGGAAATGCAGGGAGCCATTGTCGCCCGGAGGGTCGGTGTCCACCGGAATACCGCCTCTCTATGGATTAGACGATACCGCGAGACTGGGGTTACAGCTGATCGGCAACAGAGCGGCCAACTGCGCAGCACTATCCCGGAGGAGGACCAGGTTGATTGGTTTTATTTGTAATCATGCCGTAATGTAGGATAAATATGTGGTAAACATAAGGGTATAAAACAAGAACAAAAATTTCCACGACTAATATCTATTAGTAGGGCCTACATTTATTTGTGGTATTTCACTTAACCAGGCCATAGCAGCTGCTTTTGATGACGACCCGTTCACAACCGCTGCGAGCACACGCGA